TGAATCCAAATTTAACCATGAGACACACCCATAAGATTTGAGTGTTTGAACCAAGAAAAAATGAGAGAAAGAGTGAGGGAGAGAAGAGAGGCGTGGAGTGTACAAAATGAGGTAGCTCTTGTGACATTTTTTTATAAAATTAAATATATTTTATACATAAAAAGAGTGAAGAGCCTGAAGTCTCTTCTTGTAAGAAGATACATGAGAGAAAGGAGAGAAAAAAAGGTCCTATTACATGAAAAAACACACTTTATTTATATGAGAGAGTGAGCAATGAAGGAAAATTATATTTATAACCCCGCTTTATGGAGGGTTGTATAGGTTATAATTCATGATCAAGATGACGATTTTGTAGATGTTATAATATTCCAGATCACTCATTTCACAATGCGATGGCTAGCCACTATAATGGGAATTACATTTTTGATGCTTATGCAATAAATTTAGATGCTATAATATCATATACTATTTTTTGAGTGACGGCACAAGAATGTAATAAATTTAATTCCCCTCATTGATTCATCACTGATGGCCCTGTCACTTAATAAATATTATAACTATAATAAGCATCCAATAACTAGAATAACTCGAATATTTTTTGAGTGACAGCACAAGAATGTGATGGCTAGCCACTATAAGGGGAATTACATTTTTTATGCTTGTGCAATAAATTTATCACGATTTTGTAGATGCTGTAATATTCCAGTTATTAGATGCTTATGGAATAAGGATGAATGAGTATTATAAGGGGAATTACATTTTTGATATCATGTACTATGATTTTGTTTAACTTTTTAATTCATGACCTGTACCTGTTATTTTGTCTTCTACCTGTAATTTTGTATTTCTTGCTTGCAATTCATGACTTCCATCGCAAGAATTACTCCTATGATTCGGATTTCTGTTCTTTTTCGGTTTTTGATTGTTACTGTAGTTGGAGATGAGAACATTGCGGCTGCATTAAGGAAGAGAACTAATGAGAAGTTACCTTTTATATATTGTACATATGATGTAAGTTGTGCTTATGTGTACAACAAAGGAGTCCTTGTTGATATGTTTCAAAATTTCAGCTAGTATTTCAATAAAATATTGCATTCGTTTCCCGTGGACGTAAGTCAGTTGACCGAACTACGTAAATTCCTGTGTTCCCTTATCTTTACATTTCTTGTTTGGTTTATTGCTTGCAACGTGCTTATATTTATTCTTTCATTTATTTAGCAATGTTTAAATTTGTTATATTAATTCATCTTGTGGGTTATTTTTTTTGTGATATTATTAGCATGATTAATAAAAACAAAAAGGTTGCCACTCCTGCACTTTGGGAGAAGGGCATCAAATTAATATTCTGTGACCTATGCATACGTGAAATTGATAAGGGAAATAGGCCAACGACATTTTTCAATAAGGAAGGTTGGGATGACATCGTTAGCAAATTCAAGGAAATGACAAGTAGGGAATATGATAGGCTACAATTGAAGAATAAATGAGATCAGCTTAAGAAAGATTGGAAACTGTGGAATGATTTGAAGCGTGGCTCCACTGGATTAGGATGTGATCCGGTGAATAGAACAATTGAGGCGTCAGAGTGGTGGCAAGAAAGACTTGTGGTAAGATATTATTGAGTCATTCTTTTTAATTTTAATAAGTTCTATTTCTTATTTCTAATAACCATTCATTCTCTTTTGCAGATTGTTCATGCGGCAAAGAAGTTCAGATTGGCTGGGATTGAACCAGAATTGGAGGGCAAGTTACAAATGATGTTTGGTGGGGTGGTAGCTACAGGGAAATATTCAGCTCCCCCTAGCCAAACAGTTTTTGAATCAACCCCCGAGAATGTGGCCGTGGAATTATCAAATGATTCTGCAAAATTCCGCAGTGTTGAGCCACCTGAAATTCAATCCACCAACCGTGCGAAGCGCCCCCGGAACGAACGCAAGAGAAAGAGTGGACCTGCATCTATGAGGGAGCAGCTCTCATACCTAGTTGACTCATCTAATAATGCCCCTCACAGAGTTCAAAAAACCTCGGTTCATGAGGTCATTGAACTTCTTGAAGAAGATCCAGAATTTACAGGGGATCGTGATCTTTTCTACTTTGTTCTAGACCTCTTTCGTGATTCCCTCCACCGAGACTTGTTCACAGCACTGAGCAAAGAGCGACGATTGGAATACATACGCTATTATTATAACCGTCGTGACTTCTGAAGTTTAGCTCCTCAGTAGTTCACATTGTGTTTGTTTATGATTTGATACTAGACTGATGCACTTCATTCCATCTATGATTACTCCTGATAGTAGACTTTTTCATTTGTGATTGTTTGTCATTTTTATGAAACTGATTTAACTTCATTCCAAATGATGTTTAAGTTATTTGTTTTCCAATTATAGTTCATATGTCTGATTGTTTTATTCCATCTATGAGCTTAACTGTATTTCAAAATATAATGTATAGTTCATATCGTCATGGACCCAGAGGAAGTCCGACGTCGACGTCGAAATGCAGTCATAAATATACTAGTGCATTACTATAATACGTATGTGGACCGTGAAGTATTGGAGACAAATGGATGAGAGAAATGATTTCGGGACAATACCCAACGAGATTTCAAAACATCTTCCGCATGTCCCAGGGTGTTTTCAGTGATCTATTATTAGATCTAAAAACATCTCATGGACTTCATGGATCTTTTAGGACAACAGACCGTGAAGTATTGGGCATAACACTTTATATTTTATCACAGAACGAGTCAATGCGGAGAGCCATGGAATGCTTCCAACACTCATCTGAAACAATTAGCAGATATTTCTCAGTTAGTTTGAGTTCTCTTGTCAGTCTAGCACAAACCATAATAAAACCCACAGATCCAACGTTTGCAAGAACGTCAGTAGAGATTTGCAACGATGCCCGATACATGCCACATTTCAAGGTAGACATTCATACTTCAAATAAATATTACTGGGTTGTATATTGAAATGATGTCACTTATTCGTAAAGGGTTGCATCGGCGCAATCGATGGAAAACACGTTCATGTTAGGGTGTCGGATAACGAGAAAGTTGTATTTATCGGCCGTTCCGGAACCACAACTCAAAATATCATGGTAGTATGTGATTTCAACATGTGTTTTACATTTGCAATGGCTAGACGGAAGGGCAGCGCACATGATAGTAGAATCTTTAAAATTGCAACGAGAAATCCGGAGTACAATTGTCCTCACCCACCACAGGGTTAGTACCTTACTAATACGAGTAGATTAATTTTTTGTGTGCTCCCCTACAGTTTTTAATTTTTCAGGGAAGTACTATTTGGTCGATGCTGGCTACCCAATGCAGAGGGGGTACCTTAAACCCTATCCGGACACAAGGTATCATCTTCCAGATTTTCAGAGAGCCAGCAATCATACGAGAAACAGAAAAGAGGTCTTTAATAGAAGACATTCATCCTTACGAGGCGTCATTGAGAGGACTTTTGGAGTTTGGAAGAAGAAATGGGTAATACTACGAGATATGCCACCTTATCCATTTCCAAAACAGCCAACTCGAGCTGATGTTGATTTCGAGCGTGTTGAGGTCAATGATGAGGAAGAGTCGATTAAGGGTCTGTTTGGCGCAGCTGCAGATTGTCAGCTTTTCAGCTGCAGCTGCGCTGCCATAGGAAGCTGTTGCGGGGAAGGGAAACAACGCTGGGGGGGAAGCTGACTGTCTGTTTGGTGCGGCTGCGTGATAAATGCTGTGAGCCAGCCGTTTCAGGTAGAAATGACAAAACTGCATCTGATTGTTAAAACATAGATAAATTATATTATTTTTAAAATTCGTTTTAATAGAAATTTTTTAAAAAATATTTGTAATTTTGAGAACATATAAGCTTAAAATTTATATTAATCTATGTATCGATCTATACAAATATTAACTCTTGAAAACATATAAGATTATCCATGTTAATTTTGAAAACATATAAGTTTATATAAAGTGTTTTAAATTTAGAAACATATATTCTAAACGCTTTAATCATCAAAAATAGTTATTTATTACATCACCAGTGCCAATAAAGTAACTTCTACTACCCAATACTCGTACGTTGCAATTATTTGCTCTTTCTAACAAACTGCAAATGAATCACATATTAACTAACGCATTAGTAATTTGTTCTCGAATGGCCGCCATTTCAGTTGCACCTTCTCCTTCCTTATTGCAAATTGTTAATTGTTCGCTGTCATCTCGTAACATAGAACTACTCATTTGGTTGTCAGAGGAGTCTTCAACTGTTTCCCGTTGATTTGCTTCAGCATTGAGGAAATCAACATCATGTCGCGACGGGTGTCGCCTAATATAATTGTGTATTGTCATCGTTGCTATCACAATCTGAACCTGTTTTGGAAACGGGTAAGGAGGCATATCACGTAAGATAACCCATTTCTTCTTCCAGACACCAAATGTCCGCTCAATGACGCCTCGCAAAGAAGAATGTCTTTTATTGAACACCTCCTTTCTGTTTCTTGTAACATTACTTGCTCGTTCAAAATCAGGTATATGATATCTCGTATCCGGATATGGTTTCAGATACCCTCGCTGCAACGGATAACCGGCATCCACCAAATAATACTTTCCCGTAAGATGTTGAACCTTGAGTTCCACATTTTAAAAAAATACAAAAAATATTTCGCGGCACAACATACCTTGAGGAGGATGGGGAAAGCTATAATGAGGATTCCGTGTTGCACTCTTGAAAATCCTACTATCATGGGCACTACCCTCCCAACCAGGCATGATAAATGTGAAACACATATTAAAGTCGCAAACTGCCATGACATTTTGTGTTGTGGATCCACTACGTCCGATAAATGCAACTTTCTCTTCATTTGAAACACGTGCATCAACATGTGTTCCATCTATCGCACCGATGCAATCCTAAACATGTAGCTCTAGTAATTAATTAATTAATTTCCTACATTCATTTTAAACTTCATTAATATAAGATTAAATCAGTACCTTAAAGAATGGCATGTAGCGTCGATCTTGACGAATCTCTGCAGGCGTTCGTGAAAACGTTGGATCTAATGGCTTTATGACTTGTTTTGCGAGGCTCACCAAAGCACTCAAACCCACTGAGAAGTACCTGCTAATCGTCTCTGATGAGTGCTGGAATCGTTCCATCGCACCGCGCATTGACTCGTTCTGTGATAATATATAAAGAGTAATCGCCAACACCTCACGGTCAGTCATTCTCATAGACCCATGGAGGCCATGAGAGCCCACTAGTTCTGCTAAAAGATCTGTAAAAACTTCTTGTGTCATGCGGAACATGTTGTGAAATCTTGTGGGATGCCCGCCAAGCATTTCTGCTACCCATTTGTCTCCAAATTGTGATGATGTGTAACAGGGGGAACGGTCGATGTATGTGTTGTAGTACTCTACGAGCAAGTTGATAGCTGCGTTTCTCCTTCTACGACGTACTTGGTTTGGGTCCATTCTGATTTATACTGGACATATTTTGACAAAGAAAAATATAGTATTAAACTAATCATCATTTGGAGCAGACCTATATAATCTAACATGTGACAAGTAATAACACAAGCATTTAGTGTAGAGGACGGGTAGAAAACAAAATAAACTGAAAAGTCTCATTAAACAACAGTTCAAATAACCATGTCTTCTCATAAACTACTAAAGTAAGGACGTAGCAACTAAAAAAAGTTCATTTAATTTTTCTTGCACTCAAAAAAATGTCGTAGATACGACACCCTGCGCTCTTTGGCAATAGCTGTGAAAAAATCTCTTTGCACCGAATCTTGAAGCAGCTCAACAGCGAAGTAGTATAGCTCATCATCCGCTGCAATACTCGGATCCTGCTCTAGAATAGCCACGACCTCATTAATTGATGTTTTCTGTACTTTATGGGGGGCATCATTGGAAGAATCCATTAGGCATGATATCTGGTTTCTGATTGTGGCAGCTCCACCCTTTTTTTTGCTCTCGAACCTAGATCGCTTAGAGCGATTCGTAGATTGAATCTCAGTTGGACCTGCACTTGGAAATTCAGGTGAATCATCTGATAAACTGACAGCAACATTGTCCTGTGTTTCACCAAATCCCGTCTCGCTTGGAGCGCATGCATATTTCCCTGTTGCAACGACACCCCCGAACATTTGGTCTAACTTCTCCTCCAACTCAGGTTCAATCCCACATGTTTTATACTTTTTAGCTGCTGGAACCACCTGGAACAAAAAACCCAAATCATTTTGTTCAGTCCTGAAAGAGAAGTATATTACACAAATTATGAAAAATAAAATTTACTTACCGCGAGCCTCTCTGCCCACCACTCTTCCGAAGCATCAATGGTTCGCTTTATTGGATCCCAACCCAAACCAGTTGAACCACGCTTTAGATCCTTCCAAATTTTCCAATCTTTCTTTAGTTGATCCCATTTGTTTTTCATTTGCAGCCTGTCGTACTCCCGTCCGGTGGAGTCTTTAAAATGTTTAATGATACTATTCCAACCTTCTTTATTGAAAAAGGTTGTCGGTCTATTGCCCAGCTCAATTTCTTTGATACAGAGGTCGCAGAACAACAATTTGATTTCCTTTTCCCAGATTGCCGGTGAACCATGTTCTTTAGACTTACCAGCCATGTTACTACTACGACGAAGCAAAGATATGAAACACAACAATATAGTTTTCGATTAAAAAATTGATTAAAGAAAGTAAAAAAAATGAAAAAAGGACACCAAATGTTTACGTGGTTCGGTCAAAATGACCTACATCCACGGCAAAAGAGGCCACAACTTTATTATAGCATCAAAGAGGAAGATACAAAGCTTTCATTCATACAATACACCCTCCCAAAAGCATCAAAAAAACATAATGACTTGCAAATTTCTCCCTTCCCCTTCATTCATACATAGAAATGCAGTAGTAGCAGTTGCCAACACGCCCCTCGGATTCGTACTTCAGCAAACCCAAGCATAGAAATATTATAAATAAACAGTAAAGGGCAGCTGCTGAATCTCTGAAGTTTCGGCTTCCGTAAAGCCAAGCAAAGCAACCATCACACTACCAAAAATCAGTATCCATGAAAGCAAATTATAAAAATATCCAATCTATCAATTTGAAAGTTCTGCTGCAACAAACCAAACCAAAAGGATACCCATCTACTTTGAAGGTTCAACATTTTCAAAATGCAGCTCCACCAAACAATACCAAAATGTTTAAATCCTCATAAATATTATCCATACACAGCACAGGAAGGCTGCTGAACATGTGAAGGTTCGACTTCAGCAA